ACTACCACCATCATGTCTACAGTCGTCGGCGTGGCCATGATACCGCGCCCGCCCAAGTCGCCGACCCGCACTGAAGTGCCAGCTAGGAGGTGCCCAGCGGTCAGCACCACCGCGGCCGCGTTGGTCGCGCCAAATCAGCTGGCCGCTTCGCGCGCGAGCATGCGCGCTTGCGCGGCCGCGGCGATGCGCTAGCCAGCGCCGAGCAGTCATCGCAATCGCCGCCGCATTGGTTTTGCAAACCAAGTTGAGGGTGGGCGGGTGGGTTGATTGCGCGAGCAGTGGAGTTGTCAACTTCGAGGCCGGCAGGGCGAAGTGCGCCGCATAGATTGCACCGCGTATGTTGTTCACTGCGGATTGAAGCAACGAATGGAATGCAAAACGTAGACCGCATTACCTGTATTGCACAACATAAGATATCCTTCCTAAACTGATAATAAGTCCCACCACCCACCCACCCGGACTTAACCATTCACCATTTCGTTGTTTTGAGGGGGAAGAGGGGAGCGGACATCCCAGCGATGGCCTCCGCAAGCGGCGAGACAGATACTGAGGTGGAAACTGCGGGAGAAGCAACGACACGGACACTCGAAAGATACAGGGAACGAAATGGGAGACACGTGCACTGCATACCGCCAGAAAACAAAAATGACACCCGCATTAAGACATCGCGGTGGCAAACTAGGCGGTCGCAGCAGGGGCTGGGCAGCGCGACGAACAAAGTGACCCCAAGAGTCTAGGAAGGCGGGAAGAGGAGGAGGATTGAGAAAAGGAAGAGGGAGTGAAGCCGGCTTGCCAATGATGCGAATTTGCCTTGCAGCGTATCTCCCCCTGGCCTGCCGAGGTGTTGCGCGGCAGCCTCCTTGCTGAATGGCATAGTCGGCCGAAACAGTAAAACCCGCATATGGCTGCAGAGAAGCTGCGAAGCCATCGGCCCGCAGGCCGAGAGAGAGCAGAAATGCTGACAGCGCCAATGTAAGCGCAGCGATGCGTGAGACAAGCGGGCCGACCAGGCCCGGGGAGAGAGGGGGCGGGGCGAGAGACGAGGGAAGACGGGAAGGGAGAGGAAAAAGCGAGCGCGCGGCCGAGCTGGCGCGCCGAAGTGCGACCGCAAGGAAAATACGGAAATCACAAACAACCAGGCACACTAGATAATGTCGATATGGCGTTCTAGCTTGCGGGCCCGGGTCTTTTCGCAGCGATCTGGGCGAGGTGCCGGGTTTTCGGGCGACCCGGGGCCGCGTCGCGAATAAAGTCGCGGAATGCCGCTTGCCCGTCGGAGCCCGGGAGAGCACGCCTGATCGCGTCGCGCGTCTTGCACAGCGCGCGCGCACCTATCGCCCAGAGGGCAGCCGCAGTAGCCGTAGCTCGCTGGTCCCGGCAGCGCGCTGGGAGCGACTGCGCGCGCGGGCGAACGCCCGGGAAGTCACGCAAGCAGCGCTCAGCAGGTGGCCGGCTCAGCCCGGGGCACTGGCGACAGAGGGAATGAAACGCACTGCGTAAAACGCAGCGCTGCAGGCTGTCCTGCCCGCGGGCGCAATTGAACACGCAGCGGCCCGAACGGCCGAAGCGGCCCGCCGTGATCCAACCGTTCCAGGCGGCCCTGATTTGGCAAGCCTGCAAACGAAGGGGGAGGAGGTGCGAGGAGAGGGCGAGGACGTTGATCCACCGTCATGGGCGGCGGCCCGGCATGATGTTGAGTCGCAGTTTGCACGGGCGCTTCCCGGCGCGCGCGGCAGCGGCAGGGCGGGGGGCGGCCTGGGAGACGCGCGCAGCTCGGGCCTGCCAACCGAGCCGCTGTTGAACAGCCGGGTCGGCGGAATCCAATGGAGAGGGCGCAGTGCGCGCGCTCCGCTCAGCCGCTGCGAACTCAGACGTGGCGGCCCGATGGGTAAGCCAAAAGTTTTGGCTGACGTACTTCGAGAACTGCGCCGCTCGCTGCTGGTCGCGACCCCCCGGTTGACCTGGAGGAGCCGGCGGGCGCGGGCCTGGGCCCGGAGCCCCCCGTGCCGGGAATTCTCGAAACGCGCGACTCTGGCTCGCGCCGCTCGGGCAGCGGACCGCGCGCCCGGCAGCGCCCCCAGGAAGCGCGCGTCTTGAGGTCCCGGAAAGCCTCCACGGAGAACCAGTCATGGCGCCGCGGAAGAGCGCGCGGCGCGCTTTGAGCTCGACGGCGTCGAAGTCGGACGGCAGAGGGCCCACCTAAGCCGCGAACCGGCAGAGGGCCCAGCTGAGCCGCGAACATCACGAATAAGCAGACGAAAACCTGGCGCGCCAGCAGGGCGTGAAAAAAGCCGACGCCCATGCGACCCCACAGCGTGGCTCGGTCGAAGATCTTCTCGAAGGCGCCCCCCGCGGACTGGGCCCCCGCCCCGGGCCGACAACGGCGCCAAGGTGCGTGGCCTTCTCCGCGATGGGGAAAGCGCCCCATAGCGGGGCCTCCCTGACCAGGTGGCGCCGCGCCGCGTCACGATCGTGACGGAAAGGAGGAACGAGAACCGTTTTCGCGACGTTGAGCCTGAGGCTGGAGACGGTCTCGCACATTGTAAAGACACCCTGCAAGCTGCCAAGGTGCCACAAGAGGGCGGCGTGAACGAGCGCAGCGTCGTCGGCATAGGCACGCGCGCAGGCCCCGGGCACGCGGCGGATCGGACGGCGCAGCAATGTCGAACACAACCGCGAACAGCAGCGGTGACGCCGGCATCCTTGCCGGATGCCTAGGGCCATGTCGATGCCCTCGCGCCGGGCACCGCCCAATGCTATGAATCATGAGTTGCGGTAGTACAAGCGCGAGATGAGCTGGGCGAGCCAAGTGGGCCATCGGGGCGCCAGACACCACATTGGCCAGCATGCTGCGCCCTGCGACGAGCCCTCTCTGTGATCAGATAGATGATTTTTGGACCGACGACAGGTTCGACGAGGTGCCGGACAGCATTGGCCGACAACTGATTGTCCGAGTTGGCCACATTCAAAAGTCTCGTGTTCTCGGCCCCGTAGTAGCCCTCCCCCGCAACAGCGTGGCAGGGCCTGGAGAAGAGTTGCTGGAATGCTTAATGGCGCGCTCGACGTGTCGCCCCCGGAGCTTGGGGAAGGCAGGGGCGCCGTCGATTGCGTCCGCGGCGCCCCTGCTGGCCACGTCCTCGTTGAGCCACTGCCCCTGCAGGGATTGGTCGATGCCTTTCGCGCGAAATACGTCCGCCCCTGGCCTGCGGAGCTCGGCGGCCATCTCTGCGGGGTCAGCGAGCACCCGCCAGGTCTTGGCGAGCACGGCTGACAGCGCGCCCCCTCTGCCGGAGGCGAGGCGGTAGATCGGCCGCGCGTTCTTCTGACTGGCCTGGTTGGCTCTGGCCGCTTCGCCGCTGACGAGGTCTTCGCGGGGCTTACGTAGCTCGTCAAGCGCGCGGGGTCTCTCGCTGAGTCGATTGCGCGCCCCCGCGCGGACCGTAGGCGAATCGACAGGTCACCCCTGGTCTCGTAGGGGTTGTCCACAAACGCGACCACATATGGGCATCGCGTGATGCAAGACGAAATTGCTCCCAACATGCCCTGCTCTGCGCTCCGCATGAGTTTCATAGCGACACCCAGTCTGTCTTCGAGACCGACGGCTTCCAGAGGCTTCCCCATCGTGCGGCCCAGGCGTGTAGCGACCTCCTTGATGGACTCTTCGTACATGCGGAGTCGGCGGGTCGGGGTGGCCAGCGGGCGTTCGCCCAGCTTGCGGCGGTAGTTCCAAGCCAGGAGACGAGGAACATCAACGTGTCGAAGGGCGCGTTCAGGTGCCGAGCGCAAGTGTTCTGGAACGCGCTGCGGCGTACTGCGAGACGCAAAGACGGCTCGATGCGCAGATAACCCTGGTCACCATTCCAAGGCCGTAGCCCGCAGGCAGCGGCCCAGCTGCTCCGACGCGCGGAAGTTCATGTAGATGCGGTCCAACCGCGAACGAGGAGGGGCCGAAGCATGCGCGGGCTCGCCCCGGCATCGCAGAGGCCGCGCGGGCGCGCAATAAATGCTTGAAAGTGGCACTCCCCCCCTGATCCCGTCTGCCAGTGGAGGTCTGCGAAGCGATGGTAGTCCTGTCCGTGGGCGAGGTGGCGCAGTTGAAATCCCCGCCGGACAGCGTGAGTACCTTACCCCTGGGGGCGATTATCCCAGCCAGCCTGTCGCGCATGCGCGCCCTAGGGCGGGGAATGTCGTCAGTGTGTCTCGCGCGGCGAGGTCCGCCCCGATCCGATCCAGCTCGGTGGCAGTCGCCCCGGCGGGGACATGGCCGACGAGGATATCGCGCGCGCCGCGCGCGCCTCGTAATTTGAGCTTGAGTGAACGCCCCGGCCACGTGACTTCAAGCAGCGCGATAAAGGAGAAGAGCCTCAGAAACGACTCTTTCACCCAAATGCCAACCCCTGCGCGCCCTGGAGAGGCGCCGGCCGACCGCCACGCCCCAGCGCCAACGGGCGGCCTCCACGCGGCATTGCCGGCATCAGTGCCGCGAGTCTCCGCGAGGAGCATCGCGTCCGAGCGCGCGACGAGCTTGTTGACGCAAGCGGGCTTGTCCTCGCGGCGCTGCGGGCCCGCGCGTTCCAGTGGGCCACGGCGACGCCCAGCGAGAACTCGACCTGCCGGGGCACGCCCCGCTGGATAACGGCCCGCGGGGCGGACAGAGCAGGGGCGCTGATGGCGTCTGAAGGGAGTTCGCCAAGCGCTTGCAGAAGTCGCCGGCAACGATAATGGCATAGCGGAACGTGAACTCGACATGCAAGGAGAGGACGGGCAGGTAGCAGTTCGCGACCAGAAAATAGCAGCGGAGGGAGATGCGGAAGAAGACGGTTGCAATCGGCAGCGAGAGGCGGGATGATTCCTGGTCGGCAGCGGTCCGTCCACGCGGCCCAGCCCCGCCCGGGCGGGGCGGGGTCGAAGGGCGGCGTCGATGATCCAGTAGCTCTCCCTCAGCACGTTCGCGCAATAAATTCCAAACCCGCGCCCTAGGTTTGACGGGCGCCCTGCGCCCAGGCGGCAGCCGCGGGCGTCGCGGCCGGCCACCGCCTTCTGTTCCCCGAGAGGGGGCCCAACTGGATGGTGTCATTCAGGACCTCAATCGCGACACTGTCGGAACCGACCTGGGCCGCCTGGCCGCGCAGCGCGGCGTGGGCCTTGCGAACTTCCCCCTGGCTGCGGAGCAGGAGCCGTTGGCGACCTGGGGGTGCAAATTTGTTCCTGGAGGCGAGATGGTAAAACTCGCCGGGCTTCGGCATGGCGTCGTCGACGGCCCCCGTCATAGTCTGCCCCGTTGCGGGGGGCGCGCGGTTGGGGATGCGTTGAAGCACCTCCGCGCCTTCCCGCCCCGCACCCCCTTGGATCTTGAGGTCAGTGACGTAGTCGTGCACGCTGGGGCTCTGCTCAGGCTCTCCGCGCGACCGCGCGGCCGCGCGGTCGCCGCGAGATGGCTTCCACTTCAGGTCCGCGGCCGCCGTGAGCGGGCCCCCCCAGCATGCATCTATCATGGAACTCCGCCCGCGTATCTGAAGACGCTTCGGAGTAAACCGGCGCTCCGGGGTCGGAGAGGACCAAGAGCTGGGCGCAGAGCGGCCAGTAGTGGTGCAACGAAGTGGGCCTGTTGAACTCGACTATCATGGCATCCGGGTCATTGCGCGCGAGCGCGAAGCCGAAGAAGGCGCTGCCTGGGAGGGCGGAGCGGCGGAGGTGCTGGAGCTGAAGGAACTGGGCGGATACGCCTACACCAGCGGGAAAAATAATATCGACTGTCACCCTCGGGAACTCTGCAGTGCTAGCGTTGTTCCTTCTGGGCGGCCGGCACAGAATGTCAGCGAGGAGCGGGCCCCGCATAAAGGCGTGAAACTGGGGGGTGGCGTCGGCAAGCACGCCCGCAATCATAACAGAGACGGCGTCTACCTCCAGGACGGCCGGCTTGGAAGTCAGGGCCCTGGGAGCTAACCCGGCGCCGGTCAAGGCCAAGTTGAAAACCGCCAGCCCCATTCGAATGTCCCCGAGGCTGTTGCGACCTGGGACGGCCATCTCAAAGGGGCAGGGCACGAAGGCGGAAGCCACCTTCTCTCCAAGGAGAGGGGGCCAGAATAAGTCCATGATTCCAGACGCGGAAGCCATGCCGGGACGCAGATGGAGCGGCGCAATCATCCTCGCGCTGAGCGGGCAGTTGGACGAACCAGCTCTCCGCATAAGTGAAGCGAGGGGGCGGGCGAGGGCGTTGCCATCGGAAGGGGCCCGCATCACGATCGCGAGTCCCTTGAGCTCGTCCCAGACCCGGCCGTCGCCCTTCTCAGCGAGCTCGGCGAGCGCGCGGGAGCGAAGCGCGCAGTTCTGGATCGAGGCGTGGCCGAGCACGTTGGACCACTGCGTAAATAAGCTTTCGTTCGCAAAGGCCTTCGTGTTGTTCAGCATCTCGATCCCGCCCTTGCCGAGCCCCTTCCACAGCGGCAGCTTGCCCGCCCAGATCCTGCGACGAGCGCGCAGAATCTCAGGCATGTCCTCAATGCAGTTGGCAGCATCTGCTTTTAACTTGTCCGTCACCTCTTGCGCTTTGAGCACGTCTTTCGAATCCCAGCCACGGACTGCGAGGCTGCGCGAAAACTTAACGGTCCGCAGGCGGGGCGCGATGAGCTGCTCCGAAGGGTCGGGGCCCTCGTACATCGCGTAGCCCAGTGCCTGCCAGTGGTCCGAAGAGCCCAGGTGATAGCCGAACTTCGCAAAAATGCCCGACAGGCCACCCCAGTCGCGGGGGAACTGAAAGGACGTCTCCCGGCCAGGCTGATGGGCAGCAGCGGCGGCCTGCATGATCGGGGAGTGGGAAAGAACAGGATCTTCGAGCCACTCCCGGAGGAGGCCGTCGGCGATCGAGCTGATCGGCGCGACGCAAGGGACAGATGGGATTCCAGGGAGGGCGGTAGCAGCAGCAGCGGCGCTAGTACTCGCGACGTTCCTCGGCCAGCGTCCCAGCCACCCCGACGTCAGCGGGGGCGCCCACCTGCAGGGCACCCTGGTCAACTTCTATGTCGTTCGCGTGGTCGGATGCGCCGATCTCGAGGTTCCTGGTAGCCAGGGTCAGGCCCGAGCCCTCAGCCGGCCGTGCAGCAGCGGACACGTTCAGCTCCACGGCCCCGTGCGCAGCGCAGAAGTGCGAGCCCGGGACGACCTCGCCGGCCACCCCATGGCTCAAGCAGATCTGGCAGGGCGGCATCAGCCTGTACTGGTGAGGTGCACAAACAGAACGCCTGAATGCGCACTGTGCGCGGGCACTTGAGCCAGGGCTTGAGCCAAACCATCCACCTTTTCGTGTTGCAGTTGACATATGGTTCTGCCCCATCGCCCGTCCCAACTACGAACTTGCATTATCCCAGGGGGGCCGGTATCGCCACCCCCCGCCATCCTCTGCAACAGATGTTATGCTCGCGCACACGTGCATCAACAAATGATAAATGTTCAACAATTCCTTGCAACATATGTGACGAAGTGCACACACGCGCGTCGTCGCGCGCGCATGCCAAAATCCTTCAAAAACCTCCTGTATCGGAAGGCTTGTAACATTGAGTTTGTTCTTATATTTTAAGAATAGAAACACAGGCGTTCGCAATACTGAGTTCCTCAAAACCTTACGCGCGCTCTTGCGAAATCTGAAGCAAAACCATAGGTTTCAAGATTTTCAATTACGAAGTGCACGCGCGCGCGGCGTCGCGCGCGCATGCCGAAATCCTTCAAACACCTTCGGTTTCGGAAAGATGTCAAAACCGAGTGTCCAACAAACATACAAAAACACATGGTTTGGCAACACGGGTTTTCAACAAAAACGTACTCGCACGCGCTCGTGCGGCATCGTAGTCGTCGTCGTCGCCGTCCTCCCTCCTCCCTCGTCGTCGTCGCCGTCGTAGTCGCCGTCGTCGGCCTCTGTCTTGCCTCGTCGTCGTCGTCCTCCTCTCTGGCAGAGTCGTCGGTTCCGTCGTCGTTGTCGCAGTGGTCGTCCTTCCTCCTCCCTCGTTGTCGTCGTCGTCCATCGTCGGCGTCTCGTCGTCCCTCCTATTTCGACGCCGTCGTCGTCGTCGTCGTCGTCGTCTTCTTCCCTCCTCCCTCGTCGTTGTCGCTGTCGGCGTCGCCGTCCTCCCTCCTCCTTCGTCGTTCGCGTCGTGGCCGTCCTCCTCCTCCCTCGTCGTTGTCGTCGTTGTCGCCGTCGTCGTCCTCCTTCCTCCCTCGTCGTCGTCGTCGTCTTCGTTGGCGACGTCGTCGTCGTCGGCGTCGTCGTCGTCGTCGGCGGCGTTGTCATTGTCGTCGTCGTCGTGGGCGTCGGCGTCGGCGTCGTCGTCGTGGTCGTCGACGGTGTTGTCGTCGTCGTCGTCGTCGTCGTCGTCGTCGTCGTCGTCATCGTCGTTGTCGTCGTCGTCGAAGTCGTTGGAGACGTCGCCGGTGTCGTCGTAGTCGTTGTCGGCGGCGTCGTCGTCTTCGTTGTCGCTGTCGTCGTCGGCGTCGTTGCCAAGTGCGAGTCGGTACCTACTGTCACGGTCTTAAGAGGTCTTGCGACCAAGTTGCGGGCGGGAGGGTGGGATGCTTGCACGAGCATTGGAGAGGACAGCTTTAAGTCGAGCAGGTGATTGATTGCTCAACATATATTGCATTGAAAAGATTGGATTGAACCAACTAGATTGCACCACATTAGTTCCATGACACACATAGTACATCGTATATTGCACAACGTAGATTGCGCAACGTAAACTCGCCGCACTACGGATGAAACTTGGATCTACCACCCATCCGCCCCCCTCCTCCACCATTGGGATGTGCCATGTGCATGTGGGTTTGCCTCATCGTCTGTTCAAAAAATGTGATATCCCAGGATCTCAGCCACGCAGCTTTCGAATGCAAACCACATCCTCGTCAAATAACACGACGAACGCACATCCGTTCATCAAAAGCCATGAATTTGCAAGAACCCTTTGAAACACTGGTTATCCTGGCAAAAGGCCTGACCATACCATATGTAATTGTGGGTGGTGCATTCTGAGTGCAGCTGCCGGTGCAGCTCCCTCTGGGGCCACGAAGCTGGTGATGGGCGTGTCGGCATGGGGGCGCGGCCGCCATGCGAAACCTGCCACTGGGGCCTTCGGTGGAGCTCCCTCTGGGGCCACCAAACGCGTGAATGGGCGTGACGACATGGGGCGGGGGCGCCCTGCGAATTCTGCCACTGCGCCTTCGGCGAGGCCCTCGATGGGGCCACGAGACGGTGAGGGGTGTGCCCACATGGGGAGGGGCCGCCATGCAAACCCTGCCACTAGGGCCTTTTGCGGGACTGTCGATGGGGGCACGAAACGTGTGCGGGGTGTGCGAGCCACGTGGAGGGGGCGGCGTGCGACCTTGCCACTGGGGCTTTCGGTGGAGCTACATATGGAGCCACGACACGTGTGAGGGGTGTGCCAACGTGGGGCGGGGCCGCCATGCGAACCCTGCCACTGGGGCCCCGACTGGGGGCCCCGGCTGGGCTCCCGATGGGGCCACGACGCGCGTTAGGGGGTACGCCGACATGGGGCTGGGGCGCCATGCGAGGCCGCCGTAGTGGGCGGGGGAGGCGCATGCGGGCACTCCCACTGGGGCCTTCGGTGGAGCCCCCTGCGTGGATGCGAAGCGCTGTATTGTGTGAGAGGACGCGAGCGCACCCTGCGGCCGCTGAGACCTTCGGTGGAGCTCCCTATGGAGCCACGAAGCGCTGTGCTGAGTGCGGGCGACGCGTGCGGACACCGCCACTGGGCCGTCGGCGGAGATCCTTTCTGGGGCCACGGAGCGCTGCATTGAGTAGGGGAGGGGGTGGCGCATGCCAACACCGCCACTGGTTCCTTCGGTGGAGCTCCCTATGGGGCAACGAAGCGCCGCGCTGGGCGGGGGAGACGCATGCGAACCACTAGGGCCTTCGGTTGATTTCCCTACGGGGCAGCGAAACGCTGTGGTGAGCGGGGGGGCGCGTGCGAACACCGCCACTGGGGTCTTCGGTGGTGTTCCCTATGATGCCGCGAAGCGCTGCGCTGGGCCAGGGGGGGGAATGCATGCGAACACCGCCGCCGAGGCCTTCGGTGGAGCTCTCATGCGGCTACAACGATCTGTGCTGGGTGGGGGAGACGTATGCGAACAACGCAATTGGGCCCTTCGGTGGAGCTCTGCATGGGGCCACGAAGCGGTGTGCTGGGCGGGAGAGGTGCATGCGACCACCGCCGCTGGGGCCTTCGGTAAAGCTCCCGATGGAGCCACGAAGCGCTGTGCTCAGTGGGGGAAACGCATGCGAACGCCGCCAGTGGGCCCTTCGGGGAAGCTCGCTATGGAGCCACTAAGCATGTGAGGAGTGGGGGAAACTTATGCGAACGCCGCCCATGGGACCTTCGGTGGAGCTCCGCATGGAGCCGCGAAGCGCTGTGCTGGGGCCACGAAGCGCTGTGTTGGGTGGTGTGTGGGGGGGCGGGGGGGGCGTGCGAGTGCCGCCGTTGGCCCTTCGGTGGGGCTCTCCGTGGGGTCGAGAAGCGATGCAGTGGGTGGGGGACATGCATGCGAACACCAACACTGGGCCCTTCGGTGGGGCACCGTATAAGGCCACGCCACGAAACGGTGTACTGGGTGGGGGAGACGTTTACGAATACCTCCACTGAGGCCTTCGGTGGAGCCCCCCCCGATGCGGCCACGAAGCGCTGTACTGGGTGGGAGAGACGCATGCGAACAACGCCACTGGGACCATCGGTGGAGCTCCTTGTGGGGCCACGAAATGTGCCGGGCTTGAGAGGCGCGTGCGAAAACCGCCACTGGGGCCTTCGGTGGAACTCCGCATGGGGCCGCGAAGCGCGCGATGGGTGCAAGGGATGGGAGGAGCGGGAGGAGGGAGAGGGGGAGGAGAGGAAAAGGACAGCGCGGGGCGTTGTCTCTTCAAAACGATGGCCCGACACTGCATGGGGAACAAACTCCACACGCGCGCGCCGTCGCGCGCGCATGCCAAAACCCATAGAACAATTAGCCCGGCGAA